AAGTTTATCTGCAGGTTCCTCGGCTTTGTGCTCAAGGCCTTACTGGTTGTGTGGGGTGTATGTTCTGGGGAACCTACACAAACAGATTGTGAAAGGATGGAGGTAGTGCTCATGTTTAAAAAAAAATGTTTTAAAAGTTCTGATCTTTTTACTGGTTTTATGGGAACACACTAGATAACCTGTTTTGATCTTCTGAACTCAGTCATCCGAAATATTTTCCTGAACTAAACGCTTACTATCTGTTACAACCTGAAATATCTGTAGGATCTCCGGTCAGCATAAAAATTTGTAGATGTATGAACCAATAAGGAAATATATGTTTATCTGTATTGCATGTTCTTCAGCATCATCTGGTAGTTCTGTATTACTGAGCTTTCCAAAGCTCACTCTGTTACTCACCTTTTCAGGTTAAAAGAATCGTACAGTGCATCTATCGACATCAGTAAAGGACTTCTTCCGGCGTTGTTTGCAGAGTATGGTACATGTGATTATGGGGCATGTAATTTTATTTTGTTTTATATATGAGTCTGAAAATCTATTTTATTTCTGCATACTGATAAATCATTTTATGAGTTACATGTTTTAATAAAAGTTTTAAATTTTCTGATATTTTTACAGTGGGTCGCTCTGGTGGCCCTAATGTGACAACCCAGATCGAATCGAGTTACCCGCATCGGTCTAAGGGGGTTACAATTTATCACATATTTGACATATTCTTAATATATAAAAAGTGGAATATAAAATGCACTGACCGCTGGTTATTATATATGATGTTTATCATTAATATATATGTTTATTGCGAATGTTATTTCGGGTATGAACTGCCCAATGTTAAATTATATTGATATGCATTGTCATGGATGGAATAAAAATGTATTATATGTCCAAGTAAGTCATTGAGGCCTGAGGGACGGGGTATAGTTGGCAATGCCATAGAGTCCAGCAGTAGGGCTGCATATCTAGATTAGCGCTAGAGTGTATACCCAAAACACTTAGTGCAGGTGATGGGCATGACCTTATGTGCAAGCACTTCGGTGCATATTTGACTCGAGTGCCCAGGGTCCTCAGGGTTTAAATTGGGCTATGGTTTATTGGTTAATAATTTATATACAGGTGAATAAGCTTATTAGCTTATGGAATAAATGGAAAGTATATGGGTGATAAATTTTATATATGGTTCATATTATGTTAGTATTAGTAGCTTGATTGAAATATCAAGTAAAATGATCATAATGCATTGATTATTGTTAATCATTTGGCAAAGTGATCATCTTGCCTTAAATATTGTTACTCATTTACATTTATGTGTTGCATTGCCTTGAATATTTCTATTGGTTACCTCACTATGTGTATACTTAGCGCGTAAAGATTTTCATGCGTAGGTAAATGAAAGAAAGACGAGTAAGGAGTTGTGTTTGGCATCAATCACCAAAGAATATTTATAGTTAACAGTAATGACATCCTATTGTGTTCTAAATCTTCTAGTTGGCATGTATACGAGTAATAAATATCTAAAAAATATTAATATAGTTAGTATTAAATATGGTTAATAGTATGAATAAATATTATTATGATATCAAACTATGTTTTAAATATTAATTAATTGGATTTTAAATTAGACAGTTTATTTATTATATGAAACAGAGCATAAGTGCCTGTTACTGCTTGAAACCGAATTTGAAATCGAAGTCGGAATATTATATTTTGATTTTCGTTGATTAATTATTTTATAGTAAATGTTAAAATTTGGAAATGTTTTGAAAGAAACAAAATTTTACCCATTTTGGGTTAAGAAATGTTTTGAATATTTGATGTGACCTCTTTAACTCGTGATAGTACACACTTATGGGTTAAGTGTGTTATATAAAAACTAATGTATACTTAAAAACTAATGATGCATCCAACTAATGCAGTCATATGTTCTTTGTAGATCCTCATTCAGACAAATTTAGTCGTGTAATTCATTATGGTTGGAATTTTCTTTTTTCACATGTAGTAAAATATAAATATACTTCTATTGTATATTATGATCTTCTTGATGCATTGAGTATCTCCATGTTTGATGTATGTGATATGGTGGATAAGTTAAAGTTGGGTGGTCTTTTTCAAGTGTATTCACAATTACCAGGTGATGCTTTAACTAATGCTTCTTTTAGGCCATTGTGAATTGATTCTGATTGTATGGAAGTGGTCACAGTCTACCTATTAATAGATACATTCAAATTTATCTACTGGAAAAAATGATACTTTTGAAGATAGGGATAGAGGAGAACAAGTTCAAGTCGAGGAAGAAGTTGAAGAAGTATGAGTTGAGGATGTAGTTGAAGTTGAAGACAATGAAGTTGTATAACAATTTGAGGTTAGTGATGATGAATTAGGATTCGATGAAGGGGATATGGAGTACGATAATATATGAATTAGTGTTCGACGACAAATGGATGGTTTTGTACCTGATGATGTGAGGTTGAATCCTGAGCCAGAATCAAACGCTGAGAAATCTGATGAACTTCATGTTGATCGTAAGTTTGACTCAGATGATCTTAGGTTCTCTGACTTTAATACATAAACTGACATATCGACTACTGTTAGATGGATGCCAAATGTGAATCTCAATCAACAATCAACTGTCCCTAACCCTTCACCTGCAACTCAAGAATCACAAGCTTCAACTAGGGATTAAAGTTGCATAAAATTTATTTTGTGAATAACCTCAATATATGAATACTTTTTGTGAACCATAATGATTCTGTCAGTAATGTCCTTTGCATATGCATTACTTTTTGTGATTAGACTTTAACAACTTTGAGTAGATTTTAACATTATGTAGGTCATTATTTTGTAGTTGATTTTATGGTTTATCAGCTTGAAACTTGAGATATGAGACATGTATTTCAGTTTAACGCAATGTAAATTTTAAGTTATTATTTTGTAACTCATTTGTTGGGTTATCCATTGTTTTTTACTTTAATGCAATGTCCACTATTTTAGTAATTCATTTGCTACTCTAAAACAAGGTAAATTTTGAGGTTTAGCCAAATTTCCGTTGCTTTAATTTACAAATTTGCAATCAAGTTAATACAAACGAATTGAAATGTTGGGTTTGGTTTAATTTTGATTCAAAAAAACTTGAAAATTTCATTTCACAACTAATAAAGAAGATGCAATACATGTCATTGTCCCTTGAATCATACAAAACTAGGGAACATGCCTTAAACACTAAATCAAGTAATATCTCCACCACCACCACACAAAAAAACAACACACAAAATCTTTCAAACAACAGTCACATAGAACCAACAGACACATTACTTCATAATCCACACAACCATCACACACAAAACCAATAGACATAACCAAAACTTTCGTTCTAACAATCTTGCCCTCTCATTTTTCTTCAGTTTCTTCAAGAGTCCAATAACAACCACTCTTGAACGAGAAGTGACAGGAGCATCATACCAAGCAAAAATTCGTCAATAAATTATGCTCACATTCCCATAATTGTTACACCCATAGAACCTCATACCTAAGTTCTCATTAGTCCAAACAATGATGATTTTAGTTTGTTCCCCACAACGACAAATGGGTACAACAGTGTTTGATTCCATAATATTATTCTTCGTCGTTGTGTCTTTTTCTTCTTAAGGATTTTAAGAGTTTCTAGGGATTTGAAGAAAAGAAGGACAAAGGACTTTGTTTTAGGGCTGCTAGGGATTTGAAGAAAAGGTCAAATGATTTTGATTTAGGGCTGCTAGGGATTTCAAGAAAAGAAGGACAAATGATTTTGTTTTAGGGCTGCTAGGGATTTCAAGAAAAGAAGGACAAAGGACTTTTAGCCCCATGTTTATTTTTCTATTTTTTTAAATTTAATCCAAATTTTATTTAAATAAAAACGAAATTGAACATATCTTATGTACTTTAAAATCAGTGACAAAAAATGGACAAGAGACAAACATAAGTGATCATTTATGTAGTTAACCTTTTAAAATAATGTGATAAAGTTTTTACTAAAGTAGTACTCAAAAAGTACTTAATTATTTAATATTTTTAAATTTTAATTTGTTGATGTTTTATATTTTATTTTTATATTTTGTGAATATTTAATTTTCTTTATTATTTTTCAATATTTTGAATTTTAAATAATTTGTTATTTGTTATTTTTGATTAAATAAGCCCTCAAACATTCTAAAAATCAATTAAACCCTCAAACTTTCTAAAAATCTATTAAGTTCCTTTACCACCTCATCACTTACATATGGACTACAATATCAACATTATAACAATCAATGATAGTTTTAATTAGTCAGAGGACTATATTAATTAATTGGCTAGATTTAAGGGCTTAATTGTGTACAAAATAATTTAGAACATGTTCACACGTAAATTGCGTAAATTGAATCCAAAACATGGCTATACACTTAAAACACCCAACATGCTCGATAACCAAAAAAGAATCACATTTAGGAAACACAAATAGCACTTTGAAGCTTAATGTGTATTTACTTTAATGCTTAGAACATGAAATTAAGCTCCTTAATCAACTTCCATCAAGTTGTTTATTTGCTTTAGCATTTGAATGCTCTCCAACTTTTTACACTAATCAAACAAGTGCAAAATGGATTACTATTCCATCTAAGAGCTAAAAAGGAGTTTAAATATGCATAAAGGATGCCAAAATGGGACCAAAATGAGCTAAAATAACTCAAGGTCCTAACCCCTTCAAAACTCTTCTTTAGTCACTTTAAATTCTCAAAGGGATTTTGAGCTTAAAACCAATCACTAGAAGTTAAGATTAACACTATTAACTTCTTTAAATCCAGATGAATCCATAACACAAGAAATTTGAAGCCTTTCTTGCTTATAAGACAAGATGGAGGTAAGGAAAATGGGAGGGAGGGAGAGCTTCTTCTCCAATGGAGAACTCTTCAACTTTGACGATTATGACACGCAACTTCTCCCTCATCAACAAGGAACCTCGTCGTCTTCTTGGCGTCTCCTAATTCATGGATTCACAAGAACTCTTCGATAATGGTAACAAGGGTTTCCTCTACATGTTGCTTCGAATTGCTTTTGCCCTTCTTTTCCCTATCTTCGCTTTCTTTTCCTTATCATTTTTAGTCGGGGTCCTTTCCATTTTCATGGAGGAACTATCAATTTCATATCCAATTTTCATGCCCACACAGTGCAAGATAGTCTCAAGCAGTAAATTTCTCTCCATTTCTCTTACTGATCAAACGTTGAAATTTCATTCTATAAAAATTTGAGTATGTTTTAATTATCATTTATTTAATTTTAGAAAACATTTCTGGTATAGCTAGCGAATTTGCTTATGATATCGTTAATTAATGTATATTTTCAATTATGGATTTTCCCCTTGTAGTATCTAGGTAATGCAAGCTTGCTTCTTATTGTATATTTTTCCCTTGGAAATTTGACATCAGGTGTGGATATTAGGTCGTCGAAGGTTTGTGAGCTTGAAATATTGAATTATAAAGCAAAACATGTATTTTATCATTCCAAAAATAACAAATTTAAATGTTGATATGATTACTACTGGAGTTCAGTGTACAAGGTAATAATATATTATCTGTTTTAAGTCATGAGTTCCTTTTTAGTAGTAATAATTTTGGAAACTATGGATTTTTTTTAGCTTTGGCAAATATGCATGGTCATCTTCATTTTTCAATGACTATAGATTGGATGGTTTTTAAGTTTGCATTTCCATCTTAATGTTTTCCTATGATAATATTTCAATTGGTTTTTACATTTTCCAATTCTTGGTGTGCTAATTGATTAGTTTATGATAATATTACTATGGAGGAAGGCATCAATGCAATTTTAGGTAGTCTAAACAGGCCTTTTTACATAGTTTCTGCTTAACTATGGCAGGTAGAGTACAGAGACCATTGTTTAGGTCAGATGCAATTTGCCATGGCAGAGGCACCAAATGAAGCCCTTCCACTAAGTTGCAGGCGGCCTAACTTTGGTTCTGCTTGGTTAACCAAAGATAAGTTCAAGGTAGTGCTTTCCAACTTTATATTGATACTCATGACGATGCACAGACCTGATTCTTCCCTTTAAAAGTGCAACTTTATATAATTGAATATGTACTCCTTTGCAGGTAAATGAAACCTATGACTGCTGGTACATATCGGGTATTTCTACAGTAAAGTTGTATAATGATGGTTTTTTCAGTTGCCAAGCTAAAGATCCATCTCTGATCGAGATGATGAAGCTATACTTTATTCTGTGAGTTTAACATGTAAAATTCTCATTTAAAATTTATTTTATATAGTTGCTGGATATTTTTAGTGTTTGTTTTGTCATCAACAGTGTCCTTACTCCGTTTTCTCTATTTTGTAGTTTTGTTTCAGTTTTACATCTGGTAGTTGGAGTGGCTTACTGTCTCGTTTCTTGGGGTGTTGGCCTACCAAAATGAGCAGTAAGCTTTGTTTTCTCAATTTTTTCTGTTCAATATCAAATTATATGATGGATTTCCTCTAAAGAAAACACAATCTCTTCCTTTTTTACCAGCCAATTGATAATGAGCTATTGGTTCTATTGACTCTTGTTGCTTTCTGCCATGCTCTTGGACATGTTATGTCTAATGTATCATTTGATGTTGTTGCAGTGTCCTTCACTCACACTATTACAGGTAAATTGATCTTTTAAAATGGAAAAGGTTTTCAAACTTTTGGGAACACCTGCAATTGTAATCTAAATTTATGTCTTTTTTCCACAGCCCTGTAACATTCTTCAATGTTGCCGCTTCTTAGTTTGTTTTGGGCCATCAGATTCCACTTTCGCTGTGGCTTTCATTAGCTCCTCTTGTTATTGGTAAACTCTTTTTTTCCTTCCCTTGTAAAACAGCTTTGCCTGTTATTAATCTTTGCCGCCTGATGTTATCTTCTGCTTTACTTTCAGGTGTTTCAATGGCTTCACTCTCTGGAACTTTCGTTCAACTGGATTGGTTTCATTAGTGCAATGATTTCGAATATCGCATTTACTTACAGAAGCATATACTCAAAGAAAGCAATGGTAAGAGAAGAAATCAACTGAAGTTGCAGATCACTACAAATTGCCACTAGAAGATTAAATTCTAGTGAACAATGTTGAACTATGTTACATTTTAATGTAATTTTATAAATTTTGATTTATTTTTCTACATAATTTGTGTCGTAATTAAATTTTAAGTTTATTGTTATTAGATAATGTTCTAGAATATTAAATTTGCGTAATATAAAGTAGAAAATGATATACGTGAAATCAGTTAACTATAGTGGCATTTGTAAATAAAAGACACCATAAGTCAGATTCTTTTTGCGACGTTTTCTGAAGAAAACGCCACTAATGACCACACATTTGTGGCGTTTGTAAAAAATGTCACTATATACATAATTAATAGCGGCGTTTTTACCACAAACGCTACTAAATTCCATAACATGTAGCAGCATTTTAGAAACCAAATGCCACTAAAGACAAGGTAATTAGCTGCATTTTTAAGAAAACACCGCTATAGAGCTTTACCTTTGCTATAGAACTAGACCTATTGTGGCATTTTTTGTTCACAAATGTCGCTACCTTTTGCGATGTTAGTTTTAGTGGCGCTTCTTGCAACGTTTTTATATTTTATATTTTATTTTTATCTTTCCAATCCCATGTTGATTCATGCCTTAATGAGATAGTGGCTTTATAAGATGCATTGGAGGCTTGTCTTAGTGAGGAGTTTCGAGCAACTCAATGTCAGCTTAACGACTTCAGCTTTCCATTTCCTCCACCATCTTCATCTTAGCTCATGCATTTTTCATATTTTTATTAGAGTTTGCTACATTTAAATGTGAAGTATTGATGATTATTTGGTATTTGAAATTTGGCATTTGGATGTTTATTTAAGCATTTAACTATGGTTCTTTGTATTTTATATGAATTTTATTTTGTTAAATTGTTTTATTAGTTTAAAAGGTGTAGCGTTTTTCAAAATAAATTTTCAAATAGTTTTCTTATACTAAAAATGGATAGATTCTTGAATTTATGTTTTGATATAACAAATAATTATAAAATTGATTTTGGACTTAATCGAATTTTCTAAAGTTTCTAAAAATAATTAAAAGTCTAAATTAACTTGAAAATCTGTTTTAAATGTTTTCTAACTTAGTCAAACCTTTTCAAATATTTTATAATCATTTATGTACTTTAAAGTTAACTTTCCTAAGAATTTTGTCTTAAAAGATCAATTCCTTAGTCAATGGGCTGATCCCTTTGATCTAGTAGTTAGTGGACTAATCCAATTTCAAAAAGGATCGATCCATTTACAAAAAATCATCATTTCCTTGCGCAAAAAAACCCGATTCTTTTTCGGCAATGATCAAATATTTGAAAATGTTCGGCTCATTTCATAAAAGGATCAATCCATCGTGCCATAGATGAAATTTTTCTTTGTAGGTAATGACTATTATATCCCCAATGGCTCCTAACGACTAGTAATCATAGAGAAGGTATAAAAACAAGCTCAAATAAGAACTCATCAAGTGACTTCAATGGTTAAAGGGAGTGTTGTTCTCTCTTGAGGTCCTAGGTTCAAGCATCATTGTCTGTAAGGTGTGTGTGTGCTGTCAATAGTTAAGAAAGATTCTGAACATATATCATCTTTTAATTATCTTATAATATTAAAAAACACTCAAAGCATCTGAAGGTAATGAAGAAACATCATTGAATCGGACTAGACCCAAGTTTAAAGTGACTTCACTTGACCCAAAACCTTTTTTGAGATAAAACTTGAACCCAATTTGACCAGTCAAAAATATATTTATAAAAAATAATTTTATCGAAAAATAGGGATCAAATTGAAGAAATAATAATATAGAGAATGTCATTATTACAATTATCCCTAAATAGCCTAAACATATAAGACATAATTACATTATTTTTATGCTGGTTAGGGTTATGTATTTTTTACCTTAAACTTGAACCCAATTCAACCCCAACTTATCCTCTAAAAACTTGATTTGAACCCGATTTTTAAAAAAATGTAGAGTTGGGTCGGGTCGAAACTCCTTGGATTCGGTCCTATGCCCATCCCTACTTGTGAGCTTAATTATTTATATTGCTCGAGTGTTATTTGGGTGAAAGCTTAACTATGCAAACTTATTTGTCGATTTTCTTTTTTTTCTTCTAAATTTATAATTCCCGTTATGTAGAAAGGTTAATCAAAGTTTTGGTATAAACCTTAAAACTTGTTGTAAGATTATACTTTGTCCTAAAATGTTAGCAAATCCAATGGAATTGAAAAATCCTTAATGTGAATGCTAAGGTAATGAATGTAGACTTGATTTAGAAGTCGAATCACTCTAAAATTGTTGTGCAATTTTTTTTAATCTTTCATTGCTTCTATCATAAATTTTTCAAATGCCAATTCACACTGCTCTTTGGCATATTTTGATTGATCAAAGAGATGACCCATATCATAATTCACGTTGAATGATGTGAATAAAGAATACATCCCATTGAACTTGATGGCATGTCCTGCATACGTTGGTTCAAGTCAAATGTTGTTGTTGATGAATGGTCTTCCCTTTAAAGAATGTGATGCTCCTAGATAATTTCTTGTTTTAATAGTCGAAAAATGTAAAAGAAAAAAAATACTAACACCTAACTAATAGTAAAGCAATTGATAATTTAAAATTGAGGTAAATAAAAGTTCTTTGTTCTACTTATGAATTCCATGACATACATCATCTCAAATAAAAGAAACATATGGCGAACTGCAATGTTAGAGTTGAACGAATATTGTGCATTGATTCTGAATTTGTACATGTAAATTTACATTTCAAATTACAACCAAAAAACGTTGCAACTCCCTCTCTAATTCTATATACCACAGGCTTCAGGCAGCCAGCAGTCTCATCCACAGAAATCAAACATGAATGTAGCCCTTATCAGAATTACAGTTGTTACTTGGCCATTCGAAACTGTTATTTCACGCGATACCTGTAATGACCATAATAATGACTGCTATCGTAATCTGATTGCCGTTATCCGCAAAGTTTTGTCACTGAAAGCTACGATGCGTCCCATCTTAGGTTGAAGATGCTGCCAAAATATCATCTGATCTTTATCATTTCAACATCTGAATCTCCCAATAAATGTTAGCATCAAGCACCATACAAGTGTGATAAAAAATGCAGCCCCCCGCCCTCCTAGAACCACCCCTGCAAGAAGAACAATCACTATCACACTCCCACTTACTCGCTGCCCTGATGACCCTTTCTCCACCTTTTCTTCTTTGACTCGTCCCATTTCTGATTCCTCCCATAGAACTTGATCAAACCTATGTATCTCTTCTTCTTGTGATCCCTCTTCAAGCTCCATTTTATGTATATTAGCTCCCAATTGATCCTCGTTTTTCTTCTTTCCGTGTCTAAACTTCTTTGGCACCAATTTCTTAATCAGATGCCTTTTAATCCTTCCACTCCGGCTAAGTTCGATCTTTTCCTTTGTCTCCATCCCATCTACTACAATTTCCGTTTCACCTGCGCAATCGGATTCCGATTCAACAATCTGAATCTCCTGGACGCAATCATCTTCCAACTCAATCAACTCAATAGAATCAGGGAGAACATGTGTTTGTTGGGCTGATTGTGTTCGCGTCTTAAAATCCAACAAACCTTTTCCGATCCAAGAACCCAACAAAACGGCGCAAGATTCCGGCGGCGAGAAACCAAAAACAGTATCCCCAACAAACTCTATTAGCAATATAAAGAATGCGGCCATCATGATCCAAAGCGTAAGTTGCTTGGTACTAACAGCTAGAGCCGCCACTATAATAACTTTAAACGCCATCCTACCACTACCCGCGCGTTCACTCTGAACCACCACTAATTTCCCAACATCTACCCCAGGAGATTGTACCTGTTGATCGCAGGGAGGGGCGGGGAACGACTGGGTAAAAGGGGTTTGGATCTGGGAAGTGGAGTTTCTTTTAGGGGATTTTCTCAATCGATCACGGTTCTTGAAGATGAGATCGATGAGGGAGGTGGGAAAGCCGGTCTCCACCACGAGGGTACTGCCGCGTTTGGGGGGTCGATGGAGATCGGCGACCAGCCGCGAGAAAAGGGTTGATTTGGGTTTCTTCCACGAGAAAGTCATGGTGAAGAAAACCCCTAAAAATGATTATTTTCTTGGGGAGGGGAAGGGAAGGGGAAGAAGGGGGGGGGGGGATTAAATTAGAAAGAAAACTGGGCGAGGGACAGGGACACCACGCGAAGCAGGGATTGAAATTTACATGATGGATGTTGGTTGGGACGATCATTAGGGTGATACACGCGTGACCCAACTCAATGACCCTAATCTATGGACACGTACCAGGGATAATATATCTAAGTTTAATAGTATACTATGCCCTTAAATTTTTATAAAAAATAATATGATGCATATTTTAAATATATTATATTTAATATATATATATATGTACATATAAAAAAATAAAAAAATATCTTATAATTATAAAGTAATATTTATTGAAAATATTTCTTAATTATTAATAATGCATATACAAAACCAATACTATTTTTTAAATTTAGGATCCCTAGAGAAAATAATATTTCTCTTCACGAAAAAAATCACCTTATGCTTTTATATTATATATATATGTGTATTAAATATAATTTATTATTATATTATCATATCATCAAAAATCATATTGATTTCTTCCACAAAAGTTTAAAAATCTCATATACTATAAAGCTATAATTCTATTAATTATTATTATTTTAATTATATATACGAATGAATTTATTTAGGCTTTAATGTTATAATTCAAACTTTAAATATTATTTAATATAGTTAACGTCTCTATAAATCAACATGTAATTGATGGGTAATAAGTGTCTTCAATTATTTTATTTTCAAAGTTACAAAAAGAAAGATTTAAATTATAGAAGTGAAAGAATCATATATAAAGATGGCAGTAGATGGGATTTTGATCGTCATTAACGCTATCTGATAATCTTGTTATAAAACTCAATTTTAGTTTAATTCAAGTTTAAAATGTTTTTATTTGTTTAAATTCGACACAAAAATTTACTTTTATTATCGACCAGTTGGGATTTTATTCTCAAGATTTCGAGATTTGGAAGTCTCTTCAGTTACCCTTAATAGGAGGATAAGTATTTGATCTAGTTGAGTTAAATTAAGTTAAAAAAATTTGAGTTATTGAAGTTGATGAGTCGTAGTTTGTAATTCAAACTTAACTTTAATTTTTCAAGTCGATTATAGTTATTCGAGTTTCTATATAATTTTAATTATAATTATTTATAGTATTATGATAATGATTCATTCCAATTTTTTTATTTTCCCTAACCATATAAGTTATATACATGGGTTAGGATCCACATGCATTATTATATTTTAAAAAAGATATTTTGAGGGTAAAATATTGGTAAGAGTATAAAAGAGTCAATGAATTGATGAGAAAAAAGAATTTACAAATAATTGCAGTTAAAAAATCAAATTGAGTAAAATGCAAAGATAAGGGACTAAATAAAAAAACGAGTATATCTGCCACACCCCGATTTATGAACTAATTTTTTTAGAAATTTTAATTTTGGAGATTAAATCAAAATTTTAGCTAAATTCAAAACCAAAATGAATTTTTAATTAAATTTGGATTAGATTCAGAAAAAAAAACTCGAGGACATATGATATAATTTTTCCATTTTCTGAATTGTAAGGCCATAAATCATTAAATCTGAAACTTTCCATTTTAAGAAAGTCCAAATCTCTCTCTCATTTTTTCTTTTATTTGGCAACTTTGATTACGAGTCCACTGGTGTTCGTTTTGTCACCGTTACCGTTGGAGTCCTTGCATTGTCCGAGTCTACTGGTGTTCGTTTTGTCACCGTTACCGCCGACGTGTTGAGCGATAAGGAAGAACATGTTTTCAACGAGTTGAAAACGAGCTCTTCGCCGTTCACATTGTGAATTGAGCTTGATAAGTGTCTTAAAACCATAAAATAATTTTAGTAGTTTTTACGTAAATTTTTCAACGCCAAACATTGATGCATATGTCACAGCGCGTAGGGCTTGTCACCACCTGGTGGACCTTCTAGAAACGGGTCGACCCGAACCGTCTGCTGACTGGATCCAAAAAATTTCATCTAGGACAAACGCGTCTAGCCGAGTTGTGTTGAGTCGAGCTGTATTAAGCTGAGTTGTTGACCACCGTTAATCGACGTTGACTTTAACCATTTATTGGCGTTAACTTTTTTTTTGAAAACCTTTCTCTTGATGTTTTTCAACGTCTCAAGTCCCATTTGCGGTCTGTTTCACCAAATTATGACCTTAAAGCCCCAAAATAAGCCCATTAACAAAAAATGCTTAGTATTGTTTTAGCATTTTTACATTATTATTTTAGTATTGAATACAATATTGATTTGGGAACATATTTTTATAAAGGTAGTCGTGTTTTACCTTATCAAGAGTCAACTAGATCTGGGGTTCCTGTCCGATAGATCAACACGATCCACGTACTTCGAGAGTTACTTGTAGGTTTCCGTAAATTATTTCAATATAGTTTATTAATTATTATATTAGGTTAGTGATATAGTTTCCCCTGTTTGTAGGATCTAATGTTTTCCCTGATCATGATAGATAAACACAATAGTAGGCTATCGTATCTAACTTCTCAGACCGACACAGGTGTGTTCCTAATGGTGTTACATTACTGTTCTGAATTACCTATTTTAATTGTTCTGGAATTCTTATGGTATTTAATATTTTGATTTCATGATATCTGATTTACCATACGCATAGGGTTGATATTTGATTTACCGTATACTTCGAACATGATCTCTGTTTACTGTATTTCTATATCTAATTTTGAAATATAGAGTGTTTTAATGGATTAAACCATCGTTTCAACTCAAATAAATATATATTTACTATCATTAGAGTTTTTAATTGGAGGAAATATCTTAGGCTTAGTCTATGATTTGTAAAACCTTACTGCATGCTCTTTTATTTTGTGTACAGGGTAAGTCATAACCTCAGGTCCTTACTAGGTGTACAAGTGGATGTATGGTTAAGAGGAACCTATTTATTCTGTTGATATGATGAGGGTAGTGTTCATATTTTAAAAGCATATTTTATAAATTAATTTTCACCGAAGTATTTTAGGATATATGCTCTTTAATTTTTAACTTTTAGGATATTATCAGACAGTAGGCTAGTAGACATGGTATCGAGAGGATCGACCATTCTCCTTTTTATACCCATTGTATATTTCTATATGTCTTTTGTATATTTTAGTGACACGTGTTTTACTACTATCTTTATGTATCTGTATTACTAATATTTTTGTTTTTAACATATTTTTATACGGGCTTTCGAAGCTGGTTGTAACGCCTTGAATCCCGGGTTAGTAGTTCAGGTTAACCCAAGACCCTAAGTCAAACCCACTAGATCTCCTAAGAAAGATTAGATAATTTAAAATGGTATTGGGATTAAGTTTGGCCCAAGAGTTAAGGATAAATGATGATTTTATTATGGTATAAAATGAGAGTGACCAAAAAGGGTAGTTTAACCATTGTTCTTTTAAAGGATAAAAACCCCTTATATTAAGTGCTTTTCATGTGAACCAATACCGACCAAAACACTCTTCCATTTCTCTTATTTTCTCTCTTCTTTTTCTCTCCAAGAGTTAGCAAAAAGGTGAAAGCTTTTGAAATCCTAAGCCTAGATTGAATCAACCATGGTAAGAACTTTAATCTCTATCCTTAAAGCTTTAATTCAATCCTCTAATATCAAGTTTTGGCCATAGTTTTCAGAAATGAGTTTTAGGGAGATGAAAATCAAGTGATACAAGTTATTTTTAAGAGGATTTGAGTTTTAGGGAGTATATTTAATTTCTACCCAACACCTAGTTGAGCTAGTAATCCATTTTCTATTTGTTTAGTGAAAGAAGTAGGAGAAAATTCTAAAGAGAGTGAGAAAGAAAAGGTGCCTCCTAGTTGATTTGATAGAGATTTTAACAGCTAAAGAAAACAGGTAACACATTCACAACTCCTCATACCAATCGTGGGAATTTGAAATGTATTCTAGCTAAGGAGCTGAGTTATGAACATTAGTGATACATTTTATGGTAGATTTCATATTTGATGTTTATAGTATGCTCAAAAAAATTATTTATGACCACTATGATCACATAAGACTTAATGACAAAAGGGAAGCTCAAGGTAGGAAATTTGGGGAGGTTAAGTAGCCAATTCGTGCCCAAATAGGATATTTTTGATGGTGAATATCGACACTATAAGAACAATATTGATAATGTTCATAGTAAAAGCACAAAATAGGTTATTTTTTAGGTGAGTATTGATACTCATTTAAAGGATATCGATACTCAGGGTCAAGTTTCAAGACCAGCTAAGTGGGTATTGAAACCAAAATTCCAGTGTACATTTTTGGTATCGATAGTCTAGAGAAGTTTATTTATTTCCCATAAAATTATCAATAATTCTCATTTGTTTTCAAGATGAATTATCCATGGAGTATCAATACCCTTAAGGGGGCGTTTGGATGGGGGAATGTGGGATTCCCCCAGGAATGGAATCCACATTCCCCCGTTTAGTTTGGCCTAAAATGTCATTCCCGGTAATGTTTTATTACCAATAGTGGATTTTTTGGGGTATATTACCGAGAATGTCATTACCTCCATTCCCTTAGGTATTGTAACATTACCGGCCTTTTGGACTAAAATGCCCTTAATTTTGTTTTTCAAAAATATCATTCTTCTGTCATTGAATAATAAAAATTATACTAAGGTTAAATTACAAATTTATCCTTAAGTTATTTTATATTTACAAAAAAAGTCTATAATTAAATTTTATATGAAGTTCAGGGGTTGAATAAAATTTTACCCTTTCATTAAACCTTTTTATTTTAATTTTGTAAAAACATTATATAAATATTATGAATTTAATTTTTTAAAGAAAATATATAACTTTTTTTCAACTTGTAATATTATACAAATAAATAATAAGGACAGTTTGGTCAAATATACATTCCAATAATCTTTTATTCCTTTAACCAAACACGGTAATCTTACATTCCTACTAAACCAACCAAATACAAAATACAACATTCTCAGTAATCCAGTTCCCTGGTAATATTTTATTCCCACTGGTAATCTTACATTCCGTGAACCAAACGCACCCTAAGAGTGTATCAATACTAAAGGGATCGTATCGATACCAAGAGGTCAATA